CTTTGAACATCATTAAAAAAAATCGACAAGCTTTCGAAAAAATTTTATTAATTTAAGTTTAGTGTAATAAAGTGCAAATTTAAAGTAGCCTTGATTTACAATTGATGTGTGGCATATTTTTGACGATGTCGGTAATTTTCTTCCATATTATCTAAGTATGTTCGAGGATTTTTTTAATGAAGAAAATGAGCAACGCCTTCATCAAAAAAAAAAAAATATATTAAAAATCAACGATAAGTCGCAGCTATGGATTTTAAACTTGCGCTTTATTTGAATTGATCGGGCTACAAAACTGCATACTCAAAATATGTATTTCTAGGAAATCTAATTAAAAAGCTTTACGAAAGTTTGTTGATTATTTTAACGTTGCGCAAAGATTAAACTTTGGATTTATACGGGTTTTGTTAAAGTGTAAACTGCTTTTTTATAAACAAATAATTAAAATTATATAATTTTAAGATAAATGGCGAATCTAGTTAACATGTATAAAATTTTGATAAGCACTTGAAATGTCAAGTTTTAGTACTGAATTCAAAGAAGATGTCTCTTTTAGCCATTCATAATAACTTAAAAAAATTTGTTTGTTAAAAAGTGTATCTTAAAATATCTGCCTTGACATTTATGTTAAAAGTGTAAAATATGTAAATGTACCTACATAAACTTTCCCGTGAATACCATCAAAGCATTGGTCTTGAAGGGAATCTATGTATGCATGCATGCATATGAGCAAATTAAAAAGTCGATACAATTTACATTCGAAAAATACAGTTTTTGTATAGATTTCGTACTGAAGGAACAATTTTATTTCCCAACACTGTGGGGAACTAAGCAAAATGGCCTAGTGTATTTCGCAAATATTCAAATACATAATCACCAACCGATAATTTTATATATTCATTAAAAGATAATTTGTCATCAGTCTGAAATAAAAAAAAATATAAATCGGAAGGGTAAAATAGTATTGTGTTATTAATTCAAAAATAAAGTTTCATTTCACTGACGAAGGGGAGGGGGTCTAACTCCCCAAATAAAAAAGTATCGATTCATGTATGGTATCGTTTCATATCTAGTTGAGTATAAATTTCAAATTATAACCCTTACTTTGTGTCTTTATTTGACTGATTTGAATTTTAGAATGGAAACATATGCACGCCGCCCCAACGTCTGTTTATTCTCTGTGCTCCGGTATTAATATCGATGGCATTTTTACATACATACATATATACATACATACCGTATAAATTTTTTATTTATTAAATAAAAAATAATTGTTTTTAGGAAATTTTACAGCGTCGTCTCAAGGCTTGATTATTGTTGTGTGTTTGCCGACAGCTTTGCACAAAAAGCACACTACTTTAAATTAAGCAACACAATTTTAATAAGTAAAATATTAAATTTATTAAAAAACCTGAGAAAAAATTTTTGTAAGTATTTATTATAAATTAAATGTAATTAAAAAAATAAATTAAATGTAATTAAAAATAATAATAATATTTTTATATTCAAGCGAATACAATTTATAACTTACAATGAACAACCAAGATTTAAAAAGTTTCATAAAAAAAATTCCGCTACCGTGGATTCGAACCACGGTTCTCTTAAATGGCAATCTTATTCCTTTCACGGAGGCGAACCAGCAGACTATCACGTCAACTTGTATATGATGCATATCCGCACAATTGATATTCAGTAGGACATCGCCATGTTAAAATACCAATCGCTACACCGAAAAATAATGGAAGACGAACTGGTTGAGCTGAAAAGCTAACTGGTAGGTAGCATTCTAGTTCACAACTATTAAAATGGCGGGCAAATAACAAAGGTGCTGCCGTGCCATACATCTACCTACATATGCGCACATGCATGTAGGTATGTATATTAGACTGCATCACCAAAAAAAGTTGCGGTTTTTCCGCCGGGATTACAAAATTTATTATATTTTAAGACGTCCACCAAAATATTTCGGAAAAATATTAAGATTTAAGCGAGCTGGACCGACGTGAAAAAACCTGAAAACAAGAAGGTTTTTATGAATAAAAATAGTTTCTTAAAGAACTTTTTGAAAAAAGTCACCTCAGATGACAAATTAGATTAAGCTTAAAAAATCTGCATAAAAATATTTGAAAATCTTTTCAACAGAATCGCAAGAATGAGATTTTTTATGCTGTTTTTTACTTTTTTCAAAGATTGGTTTACGAAAAACTTGAATAACTGGGTCAAAAATGTTCTAATTTAGATTTTTGGGATCTCAGTAGAAAGTTATTTTCACACTGTTTTTATTTCTGGCCAAAAAAACGTCATTCGTGTCCCATCTTGTTTTTTCGAATACCAACACATCTTAATTCAACTTTGAATGACGTTCGTTCATCCTACCTTTCTCTTCCATCCTTTGAATGAGTTTATTAGCAAAGAAATAAAAAGGGTGAGAAAATACCTTTCCAATGACACCTCTCAAGTCTAAATCGGAAGAGTTTAGGTTCAGTTATTCAAGTTTTTCCTATACCAATCTTTGAAAAAAGTTAAAAAACAGCATCAAAAATCTCATCATTACGATTCCGTTCAAACTTTTTTTTAATTTTTTTTTAATATTTTTATGCAAATATTTTAAGCTTAAACCGTTTTGTCATTTGAGGGGATTTTTTCAAAAAAACTCTTTAAGAAACTATTTTTATTCATAAAAACCTCCATTTTTGGAGGTATTTTCAAATCGGTCCAGCTCACTTAAATCTTAATATTTTTCCGAAATATTTTGGTGGACGTCTTAAAATATAATAGATTTTATAATTCCAATGGAAAAATAGTACCGATTTTTTTTTTGTATGGGGAGTGATGCAGTCTAATGTACATATGTACATTAGAGTAGTCCAAAAATGCATGTGAAAAAGTAAAGTCGGAATTTTAATGCCGCCAACCCTAGGATTGTTCTATACCGAAACAATAGACCCTTATTTTTTTTATTTTGAGACAAAAAAATTAGGCAGTGCTCAAAGCGCTCAAAGTTTTCCATTCATTTTATATGGGGAAAAACAACTTGTCGTAGAAATGGTGTAGAATTCTTGACAATCAATATTTTTCGATCGTAAAACTCTGTTTCTCTCGCAAAGTAAAAAAAAAAACGGTAGATATGACTATCAAATTAAAGAGAAAATTCTGCAGGATTACAGCAGATTACATTTTTTTGTACATAAGGACGATTAGGTATTGAAAATGTCCTTTTAACATTTTTACATTGAATATCCTTGAAATTTTACAATAATTATTTTCGAAAAAATTATATGTTAAGGACTAATATGCACTCGACCACATCCTCGAATTTCGCCCTTCTAACTTTATTCGCTTAAAAAGAGAAAACTAATTAAAAGGACATTTTCAATACCTATTTGTCCTTGTGAACCAAAAAATTTGAATTTTTTAATTCTACAGAATTTTCTCCTTCATTTGGTACCCCTACTTCACTGAAAAGAATTGTTTAAATAATTTTTGTAGTTCTTCATATATTTGTAACTACAAAGTCCTTTTAAAAAATATCCCGTGTTTTTATTGAAAGAGACAATACATAAGAAGTCAGTTTCATAAAATAAAAAATAAAAATATCGTTGAATAATGTTAATATCTATTGCAAAATTTTATGTACGCAAGACATCTCGAAAAATTCCATGAGTTTGGAAAAATTATTTTCTGCTTTTCAGTCCATTTACGGAAACGTCGTACCTATGTATGTATATTAAGAAGTTTTTTATTTGGTTTTTTCTAAATTTGACTTATAAAAACAGCTGCAATTGACTTACAGGTATTTGCATGCAGATACACAAGTAGGTGCTTGTTTTGCCGACGGCAAATCACTCATCGGTAGGTAACCATATTTTATGAAAACTAATAACTAGACATGGGATATATATGTAAAATATATTTTCCCGAACCGCGGAGAGGTTGTGGAGCAAGATAAAAATTATTTTCATGTACAACTATTTCGTATATGTATTTAAATATTCTACACACTTCACATATATCTATATATATAAAAATGGTGTGAAAAATGTATAGTACTTCATCTATTGAGAACGGTTGGGCCGATTTGTTCGTAATTGCTAGGATAAGGTTTTTACGAAAGAAAATTTTGGGAAAACCCTCCGGGAATGTCGGAAAATTGGAAAAATTAAAAATTGATTTTTTTTTTTATGGAATTTTGTGTGAAATTCTTTCGGAATAGCATTCGAATGGAAAAAGGTTGGAAAATTCTTTTCCGATAGGTGGCGCAGGGGTAAATTTTTTTCCGTTAAGTGGGCCAGGGACCGATCTATTCGAAAAAGTCTGATTTGTGGTCCGATTTGCTGGAAATTTGGCACGTAGGTAGCTTATTGGCTGGGTTAACATATAGGATATTTTTTCTGATAGGTGGACCAGGGACCGATCTATTCCAAAAAAATCGTATTTATGGTCCGATTTGCTTGAAATTCGATACACGTATTATAGATATGCGTAGAATAGAAACGAGTTATTGTTTTACAGTTAGAAAGGTGTTTGAAGGCGGCGCAAACATGCGGGTATTGGCTATTAAACAATAGATACTTACTACACAGGCCAACAAAAATGGGGAAAAAGTTAACGCTATTTTTGCCG